TAAGTTTTGTCTCCTGATTTGCTGTAATTTTTAATTGGGTTAACTTTCGCGTATGAACTGCATTTCCTATCTTATTGTCTTTTTTTTAATGATATATTTAAATAAAATGTATTTAATAACTACCATATAACTTTAAAGTACATTTAATTTTTAAATTCTAACTTAATTACAACTTTGTAACTTAAGGCGAACCAAATGAATATTAAAATAATTTTAAAGTAAGGGATTCAAGGGAAAAGAACGCAACGGAATGTGAAAAATCATCATGAGAATTAGTACGCCGAAAAAAATCAGCGGAAAAAAAAATTCATATAAATTGACTGACCGATTCTATTCAGGAAGTCCGAATTTAATGTAATTAGATTATTTTTCGAACGTAATAAAATATTTTTTTTTAAATTTAACTATTACAAAGTTTAATTTTAGAAGTTATCTGAAAATATAACTTATAATAATTATTTACTTATAATAGTAAAACCAATTACATAATAGTTTTGATGTAAACAAGGTATTAATCAACAATTATCTATGAGGATATTAATGTTTTAAATAGCAGGAAAAATCAACAAAAATCATAAATTATCTTAATTAAAAAAAATTATAATGAAATACGTAGTTGAAAAGCATTATTCTTTTACTATTATATCGCAAAACAGGAGGCATAGTTATTAAAATTTGAAACCCATCTTTACATCCTAGTAACTCAAAACGAACCAAATAAGATGATGTAACTATTTTAACACAACTACTTTAACATTTATATAATATCTATACATAATTAGTCTTTATAAAACCTTTAAAAAAATATTAAAAAATGATAATTTCATTCAAATAAATATTTAGTTATATTAAGTTTTCACTCATTTTTTCTGGTGTGTATTTTCGCACTGTTCTTTTCGGGGACTTTTCTCGGAAATTGAAGTAAATCTAGGTATTACTTTTCCTATGATTAATTATTTGAACTCTGATGTATTCAAGTCATAATAAACACAATTCAACTTCTTAAGAAAGGGGATACTATTAGGGAGACCGGAAAGTAATGTCGCTTCGGCCCACTAAATATTCGTTAGTCATAAAAACCAATTCACTTTTTTTTCGATCCAGAATTGAAGGATTGTTGCTAACGAAGGTGAATACACTATTCATTAAAAAATAAAATCTTGATAACAAATATCAAATGCACCGAGACGACATTACTTTTCGGTCCATCTAATATATTTAATACAAATATATTTAATACAAGCACAGCTCCTTAAATAAGTTACAAAAATTTATTTCAAGTCTGTTATCGAATGTAGCTTTATCATTTGAAGTCAAATGCCACACACACTAATTATTTCAAATTTGAAAAGGTAAGATTAAAATACATGGTTTGATAAGAACTCCACCTGCAGTAATTATTTGTTGCAACAGTTTCATGACACATCAGAAATCCTTTACAAGTGAAAATTTGCTGGGTGGTATTTGCTGAGAATAATCAAAGGGTAAAGCACTCTCCACGCCCTCAACAACAATGAACACACCACACACTGGGCCACACATTGACAGGAATGACGTTATGCTTAAAAAATGTGTGAATTTTCAATGAGCTAGTGACACATAATAGCACATGGTCCAGAAATCATTTTAACTACAGTAATTTCTTTTATAAAGAGTTAACGAGGAAAGGGACTTAACGAAATTGGATTCAAAACTCTCTTTTAAAGAGAAATATTTCATGAAATTTCTTCTTCATTCCTCAAATTGACTATTAAAATTCTCTTTTTGAATATTTTTGGTGTCCACGAAATTTGACGTTAATTTTCGGGCAGTAAAAACAGTTCTACGCGAATTAACTTACTTCTTTTGTAATCTACAGGAATAAAAAACAAACCATTGTGTTGTATTTTACTTTAAAACAGTCGTTGTACAGTAGACTCAATTTTTTGGGTTTGCGACTACTAATTTCCAACTCTGTAGCCTAAAAATTTTGAACCCAATCCAGAAGACAAGGGAACTCCTAGATTAAGTATTGGGAGAAATTTGCCTTCTTGGAGGACTTCTTATTGGAACTAACCCGCATATGAGATACATAGAAAGGAAAAAGCATTAAAAACCTACCACGGTTAGCCTGATGGCAAGGGAACTCTAACCCATGATTCGTCTACCACTGAGGATATTTTACATCTTCACTGTGGTCGGTTTCAACTTTTTATGAATTATTTTTTACTAACCCGTTTTTTATGAGCACTCAATTGTAACGATCAAACATTTTAACCCTTTAGCGCTCGTTGTAAGCTCGTTTGACTGTTAGTAATGCAAATTTTTTCTTACTTACTACCAGTTTCCTTATTTTTAATTTATGCTATTTTAAGGGTTGAAGGAAAATGGAAAGCTTCTTCTGATTGTTAAATACCAATTTGAAACTTTATTAAAAAAATATTTAAACTAAAGTATTTATTCGGCTGGGTTGAGGAAAGATGGCAGTTTTGTATTGTTCAGAAATTTATTTAACTACTGATTTATAATTTATATATAAGGGTTATGATTTATATACTAAAAAAATATATAGCTAATATGAAGGATGGTGACAATAATGTAACAAGCATTTTTTTGTTGTCATTGATGGTTTTAGAAAATTTTTACCATTTTTAAAGGCTTCTTTTTTTTTCTTTTTTTGGATCTAACATCCCAAGCCCGATTATAGATAGCCCAATTCAAGTAATTTAAATTACCTAAAACAAAAAAAAAATTTTGAATCGCCATTTATGTCTATTCAGTTAAACTAAAAATGTTTTGAAAAACACATTTCTTTAACCTTGCTAAAAATAATATAATAAAAAATTTCCAACTATCAGAACTTAATGACGATTTTTTTTTAATGTACCTATACATCATTTAACGGAGAAAAATTTCCAATTCTGAGATGAAGTTAGGCTAAAATATTTAATAATAATTTTAATAAATATTTTTATAAGAATTATTGCTTAAAGAAAAGTTTAAGTAATAAGTTATAAAATTGGCAAAACTATCACAATAACAGCAGNACTTAATGTCGATTTTTTTTTAATGTACCTATACATCATTTAACGGAGAAAAATTTCCAATTCTGAGATGAAGTTAGGCTAAAATATTTAATAATAATTTTAATAAATATTTTTATAAGAATTATTGCTTAAAGAAAAGTTTAATAAGTTTAAGAATATTTAATAATATAAAAGTTTAAGAATATTTAATAAGTTATAAAATTGGCAAAACTGTCACAATAACAACAGCTTGCTTAAAGAATGTATCATGCATTTAAGTCATCTATGGAACTATTTAAGAAGATTTAGCAATTTTTATATTTTTGCACTTTATTTAAAAAGTTATTAATGCAATGATTATTCCAAGAAGGAAAAAAAAGCATAATTTATTGTTCTTTCTTTGCTGTTTGAACTAAAGGGCTTGGAATAAAACAAACCTCGATTTTTAAGGTGAAATTTTTATATTACACGGTACCTAAGTATTGTACTTTATAAGCTACCTGAATTTCTCCAACACAACAGACCAAATAATTTGAAAATTTGATTTATCATTCAAGTAAGATTGAACAAGAAACTTATATTTTTCTATTTACTTGATAAAATTTTGGGTTTTGATATTTCAAATTTCATAGTTTAATAATCATCAAATTTCATAGAAAACAATCGTCATGCAAAACATATGTTTATTTTCAATTTCTTTCTCTCTTTCCTCAGATAAATTCATCAAATTTTTGAAATAATTTTTGAACTAACTAGTAAATGTCATTATTTATAAATATTTAACTCTACAAGACCAAAATTTAAAAAAAAATTTAAAAAAAGGAAGGATGAACGGAGAAAAATAATTTATTTAGGGGAAAAAAATTCTGAATTTTTTTCCTCTTAAATCTTCCGTTTTATATTTAATAAGGTTATACCATAAATTTAACATGACTGAATTGGTAAAAACAATAAACACAATATAATCAGTAAAATTATATATATTACATAATAAAATGCGGATCAACCTCTTTCACTATTTTAAACAAGCATGATTAACAACTAACTATATTATTTTCAAAAAATAACTCTAAAGTGCTGAATTAAAGTTATAAAAAATTTGAAATACACAAATATGAAATATACAAATATAAGTACACAAATAAAAGCATATTCACCTTGAAACGTTTTTAAAGTGGTAGCGAAATTGGGAAAAACGCTAACCATGTGAAACCTTGGTTACCGCTTACTATTTTTTTCTGATCTTAGCAATCCAGATATTTATTCAAAATTTAGCAAAACATTTTTTAAATAATATAAAAAGACAGAACACTAAAAAATTAACTGAAAAGAAAATAAGAAGGCAGCATTTTCTACTGGATTGCGTACATATATATATACATGTTGAGGATTATGATGATGCTTCCTTATTTTTAACACACACAGATTACAAAACAATTAATAACTAAACAATTTTATGATCTAGAATTTTTTTTAAAAGATTTTACGAATTACCCTTTGTGGCTGCATTCAATTTATAGATAGTTGTCATACTGGGCGAAATTAGTTTTGTCGGATGCAAAATATTAAAGAAAAATGAAAAACTTTTTATGGGGTAAAAAGTATTCTTACGCTTAAGCACAATTCAAAAGTAATTGTCCTGAATTTTATCCAAGTTTAACGATTTTAGGCGAACAGTTTCCCTCAAGGCAATTTGATTTAAATTATTATTTCTGTAGGGGATCGAAGCAAACCTCTAACCAATTTTTTTTTCTTTTGAAAAGAAGGCAATTTATTGCAATCGATTTGAAAATGAATATTTACAATCATTTTTCTATTGTTATAATGTTTAAGACTATGAATGTAATATGCTATGTGATTAAAAATGTCAAACACAAGACTTATTACCAAATTTTTCCAAACATATTTTTCAAATTATTTTTTTTTTCAATTCTAGAATCAAGATCATGTAATTAGTTTGACAAAACAGTATATATATATAATCAAAAAAATTACCTCTTAAGATTATTTGTTGAAGTTGCTAGACAATCAGGCAATAGAAAGATGATAGTATCTGGAAAACGATCAAATCCGAAGCAATTATTGCATTGCTTGGGTGCTCTTTTGTTTAATGCTTTGAGCAGTTATCACGCACTATCCTTTTAAAAACCAACTTCGCAAACAAAATACGCAAGCCTTATCATTTAACTCACTTTACTTACGTACTGAAGTTCCTCCCACCAACCCCTTAGACCCAACAAGGGTTTAGTTCAGCCCCTACAAAATTTTGGGTCCTCACATTGGCTGCTTGGACTTTACGTTTGACCGGGGTCACCTTCAGCCTCCCCACTATCCAATTGCTGTCTTGTACTATCTCTTCTGAAGTCTACCGGTAGATAAATCCATGGGTCAAAATCCCTTCCCCCCTAAAAAAATCACAGAAAAATGTACATTTTTAGTTTGATTTTTAATCTACTTAGTCTTATTTTAATCACAAAAACTGAAAAAGCTAAGGGAAAGTCTTCAGGATCCAGAGGACATTTTTAGTTTGACATTTTAGATGATACTTTAATAAAAATTTATATTTTTATTTTGATTTTCAATGTATTTAGTTTTTTTTTAATCACAAGAACTAAAAAAGCTAAGGGCAAGTCTTCAGGACTAAATGAGTTTTATTCAGATGACATTTTTAGAAAAATGTACATTTTTAGTTTGATTTTTAATGTACTCAGTTTTATTTTAATCACGAAAATTAAAATTGCTTATTCCTCAGGAGTGGAGTTTTATCCCTGATTTGTTTTATCTCTGATTTCCTCCTTGAAGAACTTAAACAAACGTAAGGATCTGCTAGTCATGCAATAAAGATCTGGCAAAATTGGACAAATTTAACCTGATTGTTATTTTCGCTACTTCTTTGAATATTTTAGTGACTTACGGGTTAGCATCTATGGCTGAGAAATTCTACCTTTTGAAATGTCCTTATTATTCATTATTTTCTAAATATCCTCTCGGTGAAGCAAAATGGTTCAGTTTCTACGATTTATTTTAGAGATCTCAAATTCATATCATTGTCCGGTTAGAAGTATGTTTTTGTCTTCAGGCAAAATCATATATCAACCCAGACGCATAACACAAAAAGGCAAAACTTTTGTCATGTGACACTGACACTTGCTTCCTGACAAAACAATGAGTTGGCAAATGATTGTTTTTTCAAGCAGTTTAAATCTTAAGTCTTTTATGATTAAACTGCCCACTTCCGACAACCAGCTAGTTCATCATATTTTGTTGCAAGGACTGTTGAAGTATATTATATATTATATAAGAAACCTTTGACTGATGAATTTCCTAATTTATGACTTTTATTTGATTAATAAATGTTGTACCATTAATACCAATTAGGCTACTTACCTCTTAATTATCGCACAAATGAAATATCACAATAAAATATATATTAATTTTTCCTCATATCTGTTATTGCTCACTTGATTTGAGACTTCTTCATTGGTAAAAACATGTTAATTGGGCTTATTCCGACTAATTACATCGAAAAATGCAATACATCCAGATAATTTCAAAATGTTAAAGTTATTATTTTTTTTCCTTACGTCTTGTAATCATATGGTCCTAATTTGAGAATTTATCACTTGGATAAAAATGTGCTAATGCTAATTTAGGTAATTACACTGATAATTTATTAAATATTTAAATGAAACCTTTTTATTTAAATTTTAATTATTTCATAAGGAACGCGTGTTCGAAATTTAAGGTTTAAATTAGTGATGAGTGAGTGTTTTGATTTTGTAAAATGTCATATTGCTGAGATGAAGTCAGGAGTCTGGTAGCAAGGATATCAGAAAGCGGTCATGAAAATTATTCTATTCTTTATTCCAATAGTAACAGTAATTTTTTGTCAAAAGAAACATCATAAATTTTAACTTTTTGTAAACTAATTTTTTTTTCTCCTTTAGTCCAAGAAATATTAATGTTAAAATAATTTTCTACTTTAACTTTTCCATTTCTGACCATCCATCCATTTCAATCCATCCATCCATCAATTTCTATCCATCCATCCATTTCTATACATCCATCCAGCCCTGAATTACCTTTGATCCAATGATTCACGTACTTTGATCCAATGATTCACGCTCAAAGTCAAATGATATGTGGGCCTAACTTTAAACATACGAATTAATTAGAACTGGAGCCGCTATGGCTCAGGGATAGAGCAATTTCTTTCCAATGAGGTGAACCGGGTTCGAATCCCAACGATGGCTGGTCGATACGAATTCCGCATACGGCTTGCACCGATTTCAGTACTAACACAAAATACCCCCAGTGGTAGACGGATCATGGGTTAGAGTCCCCTTGCCATCAGGCAAACCGTGGGAGGTCCTCGCGAACTTCCTCTCCGTCTAACGCAGAAATTGGCTCCAACAAAAAGTCCTGCACGAAACCAAATTTCTCCCAATACTTGATCCAGGAGTTCCTTTGTCTTCTGGATTGGGATCAAAATTACAAGGTTGCGAAGTTGAACATTAGTAATCGTAAACCCAAATTTGGGTCGTCTATTCAAACACTGCTATAAAATAAAATTAATTAGAACTGATGATATTTTAAGATAAAAAATCAGACACAAAAACGTATTTTCTTTGAAAAACATACCTTTTTTTTTATTCTTTTCGATGCATTTAGATTTGTGTCCCTTAAAATATCGGTGGTAGCTGTAATCTGGGGAATATAGATGCATAGATCAAGAGTTACGTGCTTCGCCATATGTCTAGAACTTCTTAAGCGAATCGAAAAATTTTAAACACAATTATAAAATTCCTTTTCCCAAAGATTATCCCAAGTTAAAAAAAAAAAATTTAGAAACTATTTTTCTACTTATTTTATTAAATGATTATTGAAAAACAATCATTGTACTACCTTAAATTTTTACTTAAAAAAAATATAATTTTAAATGACAAGATCCAAAATTTAAAAAAAAATCAGTAGGAGAGTTCTAGAGAAATCAAATTTTAAATGCACGATTTTTTGAACTCTATGACTCAGAAACTATTCGATCTATTTCGATCAGATTTTGCATTTTTTTTTATTTAAAACTCCAGATTTTTAAAACGATGTGAAAATTTACATAATTGAGAATAAATAAAATAACAAAAATAAATAATAATTATAAATTATTTTTCACATTGAAGTATCTTAATGAATAAACAAATTTTATAATTGTGTGCAAAAAAATTTCAAGTTTTACTCTTACACGCTTGTTATAACTTTTGCAAAAACTCCAAACCAAATACAGATTTGCATTCATAATAAGTTGACACAATAAACGAAATCTTCAATATTCCTGAATACCCCCATTGTATTGAATAAATGAAGGCGTGCATTGATTGCAGATGTATGCATTGATTCATACTTTTATCAATTGTTATTTCAAGCTGTTTTACAGATGCAGATATTGCAACCATTGCAATGATGTCCATGATGGCCATTGTGAATTGATAAAGCGGGAAATTACAATCAATCGTATGAATTGTCAATGAAATTCAATAATTGCAAGAAAAACCTGTTTGAGATAAGTATGATAGGTGATAAGCAAAACCAAATGCTACGATTAATGCAATATTAAAACATGAAATATAATTCAGTTCAATATTAGTAGGATGTGATATATATATATATATATATGTGTGTATATATATATNGTCTGTATATATATATATATATACATATTACTAGCTTTTTTCCGATTGGAACAGAGATTTTTCGGCCGTTTAAGAGAATAATATTATAGGAAAAGAAATTTTAAAACTGAAAATATCTATAATTATCTTTGGCATCAATACAAAAAGGTAAAAAACGAATATTGTATATTTTTAAAAATTTTATCACTAAATTTTTAAGTAATAAAGCGTGGGCGACCACTTGCTAAATTATCTTCCATCCAAATGAAGGAGAAGTTGTGTAGTATTTAGAATTCCTGCCTAGGCATTTCATAAGAATGCTCTTTTCGTTGACCATACATCTATATCTTATTTCCTTACAATTAAAATCAACGTTCACCTTTATCAATGAGGTCAATAGATATTGCATTTTCTTTTTTCCCTCGAAAAAACATGTTATGATTTGAAGAAGAAAAAAAATTGTCGAAGCTACGTAATTCAGTCTACAAAATGTGGACGCAGTGGAAGTGTACTCTAGTATATGTATTTTAAATCAAGACAGTTGTCCAAAGACAGTGATGGGCGGGCATCATTCACGGAAATTTTATTTATGACTGAATTTAGTCAGAATAAACATATTTTGAATGATTATTCATATGCAAATTTAGTCTATAGTCATCATTCATTGGGCAAATATAAGCAAATTTTTGAATAATGATTGATGAATAAGTTCATTAGTCATGACTATTTTTTCTGATTAAAATTTTGAATAACCAGCGAAAAATGCAAGCATTATATTAATTTCATTGCAAGCTGAGTGTCGATTACAGTAATCTATTACAAATATGATTAATTATGGATAGTGATTGCTTGCCAATTAACTACTTGCAATGATTATGATTGCAAGTAATCACAGCAGCAAATAATTATTATTTTATATTACTAGTGGTTATGATTATTTATAATCACAACAAAAAGTGATTACAGATAATCAGAATCACAAATAATCAGGAACTGAGATTGCAAACCATTGTGACTACTTGTAATCATATAGTAAGATTACAAGAAATCAGAACTATAAATTATCATAATCTAACAATTACAACTAATCTTAAATTCAAGTAATTTTGATATAAATGATTAAGATTAGGATTACATTAAGATTAGGAACAACAAGATTAGGAGTAATCATAATTTTAAGTAGGCTTGCTTTTATTGTAGGTAATTGAATACTTTTAAAATAATGCATAAATTATATATGTAAATGAATTGTTTAGTTTACTATAGTTTGGTTTATTAAATGAAAACTTTTAAAGATAGAATTACGTACGAAAATATGTACATAAATATATGAATAAGTTTATAATGTGATTACTTGCAATCACAATAAGAAACGATTACGAGTGATTATGATTGAATAATCAAAATATATGATTACACGTATTCGTGATTGTAAGTAATTGCTATAACATGTAATTAAAATAAACGATTTCACGTAATTACGATTGCATATTATATGCTTATTCAGTTTGTGTGTATGTATTTTGTGTGTATTATGTACGCATGCTTGCATCTGATAACATATTTTTCTGTAGGTAAAACGAACGTACGTATGTAAATACAATTTATTAAT